CCCCCCCAAATAAAAAACGTACCTTCCCTTACATGAAAAGCATCGGAGAGCTAGCTTTTAATTTGGATGAGGAACCTTAAGGTCTACGTTCAGTGCTTATAATCCTCTACTACTGAATTTGAAATTTTTGTAACAAAACTACAAGTCGATAACAGCTATTTAGGACTACATGGAATTTATATGCTGTACGTAAGCCATTGAAATGTGAGAAGCTGATAATTCAGAAGGATGCCTTTGACATCAAATGACACAGAACTTGGGAAGAAGTTTTGACTTTGTTCAAGGCTAATAGGCCGCTGTTATGAAAATCTTGGCACCCAATTTGATGAATTTGTGCTACTAGTACTTCAGCACAAACTTGTAATCAAGCTCATTTCTACATAATAAGAGTAGTTTAACAACTACAGGGGGTATCTTGTTCAATACTTAGTTTACAGTATATTTTGAAAATAACTTTAGATTGGTGTAGTCTACTGGATATAGGAACAGTTTTCAACAGAGTGTCGAAAGTAATCCGACTTTGCATTGGTTTTGCTATACTCCGCTCTGCGATTGGTCCAGAAACTCGCGCCACTCTCTCAACCAATCAGGTGAAAAACAATGACCTATTGCGACTTAGACGGTCCCCTTTTCCCACGCTTTACCAGATCGCCCGTGTTTTCCCATGCTTAAGGCAGTTTGGCTGTTTTTATTTTGAGTTCTCATTGTCTCTTAAAGGTACTTTCGTTCCTTCTGAATAGCCGTTGTGATTACTTTAGTTTTGTTTTACGACACTTAATCGGAAAGCTATCTATGCAGCAAGATGTATTTTACGAGTTGAGTTTTACAGTTTCCTTTGCTTTAGAATAACGCTGAGCTAGTTGAGTGGGGAGGATTATATACTTTCAAAGTGTTAGAACTATATATTTCACGAGACTACCGACTAACGAGGCTGTTGTAGCTTACTTTGAAGTAAGTCTATGAAAATGGATGAACAACGAGTGAGTAACTTACCCACCCCACCATCACTCCACAATGAAGTCATTGAGCGCAGAGCAATCTTTATTCACAATACGCCGGTAAACTAGAAATATCTCAGTGAAGTATTTTTTTTGGCTTGGAAAAAAGAGGAATTGATTACTTTGAGTTTTCGAGTCAATTGTTCTTAATTAAAAAGGAGAAACTCCTGTGGAACAGATTACGGCTGCAATTAA